TCCATTTGACTTGATTATTTGGTGGCTTTCAAAACCAACATTTAATGGAATGTGTGGAAGTTCCAACAATGCGATGATGATGATGGTACCGTGCCAACGCTGTCTTTTTTTGAAAGCAAATAGTAGCTTGTGAGCTTCTCTATTATAAAATATATATATATATATCATGTATGTTTCTATTTGAACATTTCCAATTTTTAATGTCACACCCATAATTTTTCCTTTTATAAACCATCAATTTATTAAATATGTGGATAGTAAGTTATCCTAATAACAACGGCACTTATCATGCTTCAATGAGGTCTCAAACTTAATTCTGGTGTTACCATATTTGTATATGCAAGTGTGTTTAATGTATTTAATTGTATAAAATCAGAAAAAAAAAATACACCATCAATTTCTTTAATATAATAGACAATTACATGTTTTTCATATGTCTTAATTGATAGTTATTATACACACACATATATATATATATAGTTGTTGATGTACGCATGTTATTTGAATAGATGGCTCCTTGGGTGAGAATGACCAATCATGAGTTGATATGCAAGCAAAGTGGATTCCATCTCGTCTCAGAGTTTCTAGAGATGGTGGGTCATTCATTGGTTAATTAACTCAACAGATCAGAGTTTTATATATATATATATATATATATATAACTTTTGGATTTTAATTTATGGGCATATGAAATGAATGATAAAGATATTACCAACAATAATCTTTCTTTAAAATGAGTTGAAAGCTAACAGGATTAAACTCGTAATATTCCCAACGGCATAAAAAAGTATTGGACTACAAAATCATTAGCATTAATGATGATGCAAATTAAAAGAATATTACTTTAAGTTCTAATTATAAGATCTCATTTATAATTAGGACTGGAGGTAGTATGATTTTACTAAAGAATAATAATATAAACTCAAACTCATGTTTACACAACAACAAAAAACACTTCCTCTAGTACTAAAAATAAGAACCAAATATATAACTAATTTATAAATAATAAAAAATAATTAAATTAATTATTTGAAAAAAATGCGTGTTGCGTAAAGTACATATTTTAATTTAATCATTTGTATTGAAAACTACTTTATTAATTTAATTAGTAAATAGGCAAAGTCTCAAAAAAATTATACTACTTCGAGTTCCTAGAGAGAGTATTATTTTAATGCGTTGTGGGTTTTAAAAAATTATTTTTTTTATCACTCATACATCCATTGCATAAAGAGTTTGTACTCATAACTTCAAAATCTGAAAGGAAATGCTTACTATCTACAAAGCCCGAGGATTTTTAAAAAGTATTGTTTTTTTTGGCCAACTTTTGAGAAGTAGTTGGAAATTATGAATGAAGTTAAAGATAATAAAATTATATTTGAGCAATACCTAAAAATACGTATACACACATGTGGTCATATAAAGGTGATATTCCAACCTAATTGTTGAATTAGTTTTGGTCTTAAATACAAGACCCATTTACATATTTATAAAATTTTTTTAAATTACCCCTATAGATACTGCCTCAACCATAATCAAATAGAAGAGGAAGATAGGGTATTAAGAAAGATGATTATAATATTTTAGAAAAAACTTGTTATATTTCTTATAATTAACTAATTTACCTAACTTTTTTAATCTAATCAAATTAGTTAAATAAGTTTTATATTAAATATAAGATAAATATATTATTAATGGATTCATCTTTCAAAGCTACTCTCTTTGAAAGCTTATCGACCAAGAGGGAGAAGTCACATGGAGGTTGGCCCCACATTTTTGCCCACGCTCCCAATCCAAGTGCATACCTCTCCTGCCGACCCCGGTTTCTCCGCCCGCGTTAAAAGCTCCAACTCTAATTTTTGATTGTTGGTTTAATACTATACTACTTTCAGTTTTTAAAATTTGATCTTATTTTGATTTTATTTCTTAAAATTTGGGATCATTGATTTTATTCCTGAAATTTGATTTTATTTTTGATTTAGTCTCTGAAATTTAAAATAAATAGTTTTTATTCCTGAAATTTAACCATATGTTAGTTTTGAATTTTGGTTTTTGGTTCAGGGCTAAAAAAAACCTCAAAAACGTCATATAAATAGGAGAGTAATGTTGAATTGAGGGAATTATTGGACGGTGACCGGAGTGAGGATGAAAATTGAAAAGTCCGTGTTTGTTGACAGTGCCGTGTTGACAAAATTTGCCTAGGCAGCAAAACGAAAATATTAAATGATTGTCTCTTTCACATTTCTCTTTCCCCCTTCTCCCTCGTTTTATCTTTTTTGTTTTTTTTTAAAATCCATTCCTCATGATATTTTCTTCCCCCAAAAAATAGCATCTTCTCTGTTTATATATCAATTGAAATCAGTCTTATCATACTACTTTCGATCCTTAATATAAAAAAATAATTGATTAATTTGAATAAATTTAAAAAATTCGTTAAATTAATTGTTTGTAATAAATAGGTATTATTTTTTCTAGAATATCCTTACTAATTATGTGTATTAGCTAGAACTACTATTTCATATAATTTTTTAATATGTGCAACTATTACCCAAGGACTACTCGGAAAAAAAATAGATAAATATGATAAACAAAATGGATTAAGTTCTTATATTTAGAACTAAATTAAAAGTTAAACTAATTCTTATATATATTAAAAATTGGAGATAATATTAAACATTATCTTTGATGGATTATTTTTATTAAATTTACTGCAGGATAGATATTTAACATAACTTTTCGCCAAAAAAATATTTAATATAACAAATATTATGCTCATCAAATTTAAATGTCACGCTTCAATGTAAGAAATAATTGAATATATATATATATATGTATTTATATAGAGGGTGTCGGCGTGGTGGGCTATGACCGCCCGTTGAGGCACCTCCACAAGAAAACTTGCTGGGGTAGCCTGTTTGGTATGCCTACTCTTTCGTGAATAAAAATATTTTTATATGTACTAACAAATTATTAATTAAGATAATAAGCAGTTTTATCTTTCTAAAAAATAGAACATAAGTTTAAATTTTAAGAATCATACTTATTAGAAAGGCTTTAACTTTAACACTTACAGCCCGATAAAGGTTAAAAAATATAAGTTTGAATTCTAAAAAATGCACTTATTAGAAAAGTTCTATCCTCAACACGCCACCCACAGAGGTTAAAATATTTTTGTATATTATTTTTCATATATGTCTATGTGTGGAAGAATTAATTTAAAACTCATTTGGTAAACATGTGAGTTTATTTTTCTTGAGAAGATATTCGGAAAATAAAATTTAAAATTCACAGTATCTCTTCATTTGTGGATTAAAATCTTATTTGCATAAGGATCTAATGACTAAATATCAAATCAACTCGCACAACTTAAAAAATTAGAAGAAAAATATTACTATCTCTTAAGTCCAAGAATGATCATATCCTATGCTATATTCTTCATACATAACAATATTTTTTGTTATTATTATAACGTTTATCAATATAACCTGGCGAACATCAAAGTACGAGTAATTATTTTTAGTTATTAATTATTGAAAAAACATTTGAAATAATTATTAAATAGAATATTATTTTAAAGCCTAATATCATTCTTTCATAAACTAAACCCCACAAAATCTAAAAGTAGCACTAATCATAATTTGAAGCCAACACCTTGATCATCACCATGCAATGCATAATCAAGAACGATAGGTTTCAGGAATATAAATTTATGATAGAATCTTAAATCAAAAGTATTATATTATATTATATAAATATGAAAACAAATCTTAGAATCTGAACTTTTTTTTTTGGGTGCAAATTCTTCTGGAAGCCAACTCTGCCATGGACTCTTCTTTTGGCTTTATAGCATCTCACCTAATTATCCCAATAATTGTTTATATTGTAAACTCACTTCAATAATTAATAGTATAAAATAACAACAAACAAACTTTACAATTAAATACAAAATTTATATGATTTTTACGCAACTCCCTCTTCTTTGCTTTCTTCCCACCTACGTACTGTCGGCTTCCCAAAAAAAAAAAAATAGAGAGAGAGAGAGAGAGAGAGGTGTTTGTCAAGGAGGGGAAAATATGAACATACACGAAATTGCACTCAATCATTGTTTCTATATTCCACTTTCAAGATCACAAAACTTCAATCATTGTCCAATAATCATATAACGTGAATATTAATTTTGTTCCTGAAATTTGTTATCATTTTGATTTTAATATCTGAAATTTGAAATTAGTATTTTTTGTTAACATTAATTTCGAATTTTAGAACTGAAATTTAAAAGAGATCAAATTTTATGGATTACTAATGATATATTAAGTAATGTTATGATGAAATAATGTCATGACATTTGAAGAATAAATAATAATATAAAAAAATTTAGTTTTAAATAAATATTTAATAAAATTAAAAAGAAATTCTAAGAATGATATTAACAATATTTTACAATTTTCAAGCAACAAAGAAGGATGTAATAATCAATTACTCTTCAAATCTTAAATATAAAACCTTTATATATTAGTATAAAAATTTTATATTTAAAATAAAAAAAGTACTGTAATTTTTAAATTTAGAACAAGCAATATTTAATACTTTGCTAGAGTATTTATAAATCACGTGCAAGGTGCAAGTGATATGACTTCATTAACTTCGAAGTGCGACTGTGTAAAAAGAGTAATTTATGAAAGCAAGGTAAAAAGTGAGAAACACGAGAAAGGACAGAATAGTAACTACGGCACCTTCCTAATATCTCTATCTAATCTCACCCGTCTGTTTTGACGGTAACGATGAAAGGCGGATTAAACCTGAAGAATATGACCGTTTACTGGAAAATCAAATTTAATTAATCAGTTTAACAAATTAATCAATGAGATTAAAGGCATAACCATAAATTTTCTTCCGTGCGCTGTTCCCAAATTTTGCTGCTGGGGGTTCAAGATATTCACTTACACGCATTTACCTTTCCTTAAGCACAGTAGAAGGCAATAATGATTTCCCATTCGATAGTCACCAAAATAAGAGAATATTATCAAAAGCAACAAAATCCCGTACTTTTCTGCCCACTCTGCGTCGTCCTTTTCACAGTTGATGAGTCATGGGAGTGTCAGACAGCCAGCATCTTTAGAATATAACGTGAAGTAGAACGCATCTCAAGGAGAGAGAACTGGGAAGGGAAGTGGGCTGGTCCTTGCGTCGTCGCTGAGATTGAAGCAAAAAAATGGGGTGAAATGGAAGATAAGCTGCTGCTAAAGGGAATCCCATTGTGAGATTTCTTGCCCCTTTGTTGTACTTGATGCAGTTTGGAATAAACTTTGACTCTGTTTGCGATATTCTTGAATCTTGATGTCCATTTCTGAATTTGAGGTAATGATATCTGTTTCAGTGGTAGCCGCTTGTTGGGTTGCTGATCAGTGCCTGCCATTTAGTTTACTTGGTAAGTTTTTGATCCTTAACACTCAACAGATCAGTTTCTGCAGAACTCTTCAATCCCTCTGTGATATGCTTTCTGTTCCCCTTGGTGTCGCCGTCGTGACCGTCGCCGTTTCCGTTTCCGTGTCCTCCTTGTTTTTTATTGATCCCTTCGTGGTCTGAATGCCATGGTTTCCTAGAGTGTCAGAGCTAGCGTCTGAGAACACAGTATGTGACCCATCACAAGGTTAGAGGAGAGAGAAGGGAGGCAGGTTCGTCGGAGAGATGGAGAGCTTGTAGGATAGATGAAAGGGAAGATGAGATCCCGTTGCTAAGATTTCATACTTTTGGGGCGTGCTTTAGCAAATTTGGAGTAAAGCACGATTCTTTTTTCGATTTTCTCGGCACCAAGTTTGACAGAATGATGTTGCTCTGAGTGGTAACTGGCGATTGCTGATCACATTTACCATCCAACCTCTTGGTAGGCTTTTAATCTCGTCAACAGATCGGTTTTACCCACATTCTTCAATCCCTGTTGAAGCTGCTGTTCCTTGAATTTTAGTTCCAATCACGGTTTCCTCTTTCTTGTCTCTTCTTCTTTTCCCCTTCAAGCTCTAGATGCCACAGTTGATCATTAGGGGTGTGTAGTTTTTTTTAATTTTGGTTTCTCACCCTCAGGATCTACTGTTTAAATTTTTTAAGTCCAGAAATTGCGCGTCATAGAGGGTATTTTATCTGGCTTGTTGACAAGTATCTTTTGATTGTCCCCGGCCCTCATTGCCTGGCAGCTTAAAGATGTATTTTAGTCTCACATTTTCTAATTCCTCTTTTCTTCACAGTTAATTCTGATTTTGAACTTTAGAAGCTGTTGATACAAGGCTATGCTCTCAGATTTTGGAGCTAGGTCCAATTGGGAAGGTAATACAGCATTGATGTTGGAGCAATTTCCATCTTCGAAGCAGTACGACTGGATTTCTCTCATATCTCTATCTATCTTTTCTAACTATATTGAGTATATAATCATTTGATATTAGGTACAAAAGTCTCAAAGTAGAACAAGACAGGTGGTCGGAATCCATAGAATAATAGTCTGGCTTGGAACCATTCCCAGGCCTTTGCCGTAACAAAACCAGCTGCGCTGTTGTTATTAGCTGGAGTCATGGCAACTTTGTTACATTCTGAGTCCAGGCGCTTATATTCTTGGTGGTGGGATAGCCACATCAGCCCAAAGAACTCAAAATGGCTTCAGGAGAACCTTACAGGTTTGACATTTTCCACTACGTCTGAACTCTCTACCATTGTCACACAAAGTCCGGTTTTCAGCAGTTTTTGTGTCGTAAAGGTGATGCTATTTATTTCAGCAGAACCTATTAGGCGTGTCGGTTGAGAATATGCCATATTAATTGTTTTATATTTTCATCCCTGCAAATTTCCATTTTGTCGAGAAAGGGGAAATGTGGGAAGGGATCAACATGGAAATATAATACTCCATACTACTTGCCTGTCTGCTGCGTTTTATGGATCACTATGTTATTGGTTAGCTGTGACTGATGCCAATAAAACGTCATGAACTTGGAAATATATATATATATATATATATATATTGTTTTGAATGTTCTCGATAAAGTAGATTAAGTCTCTAGCAGTCAAGTTAGCTTTTATACCAACTGATCCATTATTAATGAATATTTTTATTGTAGTTTGATTTTAACTTTGTTGTCTTAAATAATTTTTGTTTTTTTCAAGTATAGAAGTGGAAATATGGACCTGCAGTGCTAGATTGGTCTGCTACTTCTTAAACTTGCTTTGCAAAAATAAAATAAAATAAGAACACAAAATGAATCGAAGCAAGTTGTTATCATGAAACACACGCAGGGGAAATGACATTTGAATGTTACATTGAATAACTCCTCTTGCAGTGGATCCCCCCCCCCCCCCCACCCAAAAAAAAAAAACTCACAGCTAGAAGCTAAATATAATCTGTTTGTCAGAGGACAATTTTGACGTTAATAGATTCTATGTGACTCAGGAAAGAGGTTGATCAAAGAGAAGGGAAAAAAATACGGTTGTTATAATTTGTGAAACGTGGGCCTTTAATGTGATTAGATAAGGAAAAAGAAGCAAATAGAGTTTGTGCTTGAGTTGTTTAGTTCAGAAACTTGTGGTTGACTTAATTAAAATTTTTACAGACATGGATGTCAAAGTAAAATCAATGATCAAGCTGATTGAAGAGGATGCTGATTCATTTGCAAGGAGGGCAGAAATGTACTATAAGAAGCGCCCTGAACTCATGAAATTAGTTGAGGAGTTCTACCGAGCATACCGAGCTCTAGCAGAAAGGTATGATCATGCAACAGTAGAATTACGCCAGGCCCACAAAACCATGGCAGAAGCATTTCCCAACGAAGCTCAACATATGTTGAATGATAATTCGCCATCTGGTTCTTGTGGCCCTGGGGCCGAGCCACACACGCCAGAAGTTCCTCATCCAATTCGTGCATTCATGGAGCCAGATAACCTACAGAGTGATGCACTTGCACTTTCGTCAATCCGCAATAATTTGAAAAAGAATGGAGGGAACGCAGAGGAAACAGACTATGGCATAAGCAAAAAGGGTCTGAAGCAGCTGAATGAAATTTATGGGTCTTCTCGGTCACCAGCTGGAAAACAGAAGGTTAAGAATCAGATCAATTATGATTCTGAGCATACAGGGAGAGCAGAAGGCGAAGTTCAAAACTTGAAGGAAGCCCTGGCCAGATTACAGTCTGACAAGGACGATATCCTTCTTCAGTATCAGAGGAGTTTGGAGAAGTTATCTGAAATGGAAAGAGAGCTTAATAAGACTCAAAAGGATGCTGGAGGCCTTGATGAACGAGCTAGTAAAGCTGAAATTGAAATCAAAATATTGAGGGAGGCTCTTGCAGAGCTGAAAGCTGAGAGGGATGCTGGTCTAGCTCAGTACAATCAGTGTTTACAGAAGATAGCTAGCCTGGAGGCAATGTTATCTATGGTGCAGCAGCATGCTAAGGGTCTTGATGAGAGGGCTGCTAATGCAGAAACTGAAGCAAAAAATCTCAAGGAAGAAATTGCCAGATTGGAGGCTGAGAAGGATGCTGTTCTTCTTCAGTATAAACAATGCCTTGATAAAATATCTGTTTTAGAAACTAATGTATTTCATGCTGAGGAGAAATCCAGAATGCTAAATGGGCAAATCGAAAAGGCAGAATTTGAAATTAAAGCACTCAGGAAACAGCTTGCTGAACTGCATACTGAGAAGGAAGCTGTAGCTATCCTGTACGAGCAGTGTATGGAGACAATAACCAAAATGGAGAGTGAAATTTTGCAGGCGCAAAAAAATTCTGACCGATTGAGTAAAGAGATTGAGACTGGAGCTGAGGAATTAAGGAATTCTGAAAAGCATCGTGATATGTTGGAGAGATCAAATCAATCTCTTCGTCTGGAGGCTGATGATCTAGTGCAGAAGATTGCTATAAAAGATAAAGAGCTCTTAGAGAAGCATGCTGAGTTGGAGAGGCTTCAGACTCTGCTACAGGAAGAACATTCTAACTTTCTTCAAATCGAAGCCACTTTGCAGACCTTGCAGAAGTTGTACTCCCAATCACAAGAGGAGCAAAAATCTCTTTCTTTGGAGCTTAATCATGGGCTTCAGCTACTGAAGGAGTTAGAACTTTCCAAAGAAGGATTTAAGGAAGAAGTGCAAAAGATTGTTGCAGAGAACAGGACTCTTCATGAACTTAATATTTCTTCTACTAGGTCATTACAAAATCAGGAAATGGAAATCTCTAAATTGAAGGAGATTAAAGAGAAACTTGAACAGGAGTTTTCTGCTAAATATGAAGAAAGCAATGCTCTCCAGCAGGAAATTCATGAAATGAAGAACGAAATCCAGGCCTTGAATAAGAGATATCAGGCTATGCTAGAACAACTGAAGACTGTTGGTTTGGATCCTGAATGTTTTGTAGCAACTGTGAAAGATTTACAAAATGAAAACTCAAACCTAAAGGATGTCTGCAAAATGGAGCGACTTGAGAAAGAAGCCCTTTATGAAAAGTCAAAGGAGATAGATAAACTTTCAAGTGAAAATGCCGATATGGCAAGTTCCCTGTCAAATTTGAATGATGAGTTGGATGGCTTGAGAAGTGAAGTGAAGAAGTTTAAGGAGAGCTGCCAAGTTCTTCAGGAAGAAAAATCAGCCATTATTGCTGAAAAATCAACCCTGTTTTCACAGTTACAAATAATCACTGAAAGTATGCACAAGTTGTTGGAAAAGAATATTTTACTGGAGAAGTCCCTGTCTGATGCCAGCATTGAGCTTGAAGGTTTGAGGGCTAAATCAAATAGCTTAGACGAATTCTGCAAGTTGCTGAATGATGAGAAGTCTAATCTTCTAAATGAAAGAAGAACTCTGGTATCTCAATTGGAAAGTGTAGAAGCAAGACTCTGTAATTTGGAAAAGAGGTTTGCAACACTAGAAGAAAAATACACTGATGTGGAGAGGGAAAAAGATTGCACAATTAATCAGGTAGAAGAACTTCGTGCTTCATTTTTGGTGGAAAAAGATGAGCATGTTAGCCATAAACATTCAAGTGAGGCTCGACTGACTAATTTGGAGAACCTTGTCCATCTGCTACAAGAGGAACGTAGGTTGGGGAAGAAAGAATTTGAGGAAGAACTTGACAAGGCTGTAAATGCTCAGGTTGAGATATTCATTTTGCAGAGGTTTGTGGAAGACTTGGAGCAGAAGAACTTGGCCTTATTAGTTGAGTGTGAAAAACATGTTGAGGCATCAAAGTTTTCTGATAAAGTCGTCTCTGAGTTGGAATGTGAAAATCTTGAGCAACAGATGGAAATAGAGTTTTTGTTAGAAGAAATTAGAAAGTTGAGAATGGGGATTCATCAAGTATGTGGGGCTCTTCGAATTGATCATGATGATGGGAATGGCAAACTTTTGAAGCTAGAGGAAAAGCATATACTTCATATCTTGGATAATATTGAGGGGTTGAAAGGTTCTTTTGTGAGAAGCCAGGATGAGAAGCAGCAGATGCTGGTAGAGAACTCTGTCCTCTTAACTCTACTTTGTCAATTGCAATCTGAGGGAGCAGAACTGGAGTCCAAGACAAAGACCATGAAGCAGGAGCTCAACATCCTGATAGAGCAGCATGAAATGTTGCAGAAGGATAAGCTTGAACTTTTGGAGATGAACAGTAATTTAAGGGATGAAGTAATCAAGGGAGAGGAAAAGGAGAATATGTTGAAGTCCAATTTGGAAGATCTGCACGTGGAGCTACTGGACTTGCAAGGAACAAATTTGGTTCTGCAGGAGGAAAATGGCAAGGCACTTGAGGAGAATAGTTCATTGGTTAAGAGTGTTTTGGATCTCAAAGATGCAATTTCCATTTCTGACAATGATTGCTGTGAAATCCTCCATGAGGCACTGACTCTAAGCAACCTCAATGTGGTTTATCAGAGCTTTGCTGCTGAGAAGCTCTTGGAAAATGAAGCACTTGGTGAACATCTGAACATTCTTCATCATCTAAGCAGTGACCTCAAGCAGCAGGTAGGAGTGATGCATGAAAAATTGGTGCTAAAAGGTGTAGATAATGAGTACCTGAATGACACAATTGAGAGGATGGACGAAGAACTTCAGGAAGCCAAAAACGTAAATAATCATTTATGTCATCAAATTGAAAAGGCTGAGGAACTTCTCAAAAAGAAAGAAGCAGAGATATTAGAAATGGAACAAAAGCTGAAGGCGGCGGAGACAGTGAATGCAGAGCTTTGCAGATGTGTTGAAGAACTGAAGATGGAATGCCACGAATCAAGACTGATCAAGGAAAATCTAGAGAGTCAGGTTCTTGAAATATCAGAAGAATGCTTGAATCAGAGAAAGGAGTCTGAGCACCTTAATGTGGCAAACAGAAATATCCTGTCTGAGATTGGATTATTACGACAGCAAGTTGAGCAACAGAGAGCCAGGGAAGAATCTTTGAATTCAGAGCTGCTTGAGAAAATAAATGAATCTGAACTTTGGGAGGCTGAAGCTGCAACATTCTATTTCGATCTTCAGATTTCATCCATCAATGAAGCATTATTTGAAAATAAAGTAAATGAACTCTCTGGAGTTTGCACCAGACTTCAAGATGAAAGCACGGCAAAAAGCCTGGAGATTGAACGCATGAGAGATAATATTGGTCTGCTGGAAAGTGAAGTTCAAGGGCTGAAGGGCCAGTTATCTGCATATACTCCAGTTATTACTTCTTTGAAGGGGGACTTTGAATCTTTAGAATACACTGCTCTTCATCGGACCGGGAGATCTTCTGTTGAAGGCCAGGGAAAACAGCAGGTAATACTCTTTTGACCTCATCAATGTGTTTACCCTCTTCTTTTTTTCTTGTCAAAAGCTTGAGCTCATGCAGTTAATAGATGTATATTCTACTTACCTTTGTTTTTCATGAATGCTTATACAGGATGAAGAGGTTGAAATTTGTCCTCAACAGCACAGCTGTCAAGGATCAGAAGAGAATGAAAAGACTTTGACGCCATTACCAGATGGGGTTTCTGATTTGCTGAAAATACAGGCAAGAATTAGGGAGGTTGAAAAGGTAATGGGGGAAGAATTTGAAAGACAATTTGAGAAAAGCCTGACTACCGTGTCCAATGTTGAAGCAGAAGCTCCAACGCAAATGACCAGAGACTCAGAGTCAAAAGCTGCCCCATATCCAGAAAATGACATCAGAAAAGTTGAGATGGAACTTAAGGATGACTCTGTAGATGATCTCAAGTCACAGAAGCCGAAATATGAAAATGGTTCTTTGATGAAAGACATTCCGCTTGATCAAGTCTCAGATAGTCCGATCTCTAAGAAGTGCAAGAGAGGAAATGGTAGTAGGAGTCGAGGGACTGATGACCAGATGCTTGAGTTATGGGAAGCCGCTGAGCAGCGCAGTGAAGCAAAGAGACAGGATGTTGCTCCAGTGGACGATGTAATCACATGCCATGAGTCAAACGGTTCAGGTAGATACCAAAATTCATCTTCAGAACTGGAGGTTGAGAAGGAATTGGGTGTTGACAAACTCGAGTTATCAAAAACTACAAGAGAGAGAGGTCAAGATTTCAAGGGCAGAAAGATCTTGGCCAGACTTGCCTCTGATGCTCAGAAATTAAACATGCTGAAGCTAACTGTGCAAGACTTAAAAAAGAAGGTGGAAACAGGAAAGAGAAGCAAGAAGGGCAATGATGTTAAATCTGAGACAGTCAAAAGACAAGTAGAAGAAGTAGACGAAGCTGTGGCACAATTAGTGGACCTCAATGATCGGTTGAGTAGAGATATCCAAGCGAGTTCGTCATCTTTAGTCAGGGAGACTTCAGTGGAGTTGGAAAATGGTGCACACACAAACAGAAAAAGAATAACCGAGCAGGCACGAAGAGGTTCTGAACAGATAGGGAGATTGCAGTTTGAGGTGCAGAACATCCAATATGTTTTGCTGAAATTGGCTGATGAAAAGACAAGCAAAGAGAAAGGCAGGTTTTCTGGACGAACAGATGTTCTGCTGGGGGACTTTATTCACCTTCGCAAGAAAAGTGGCAAAAGGCGCCTCAAATGGCGTTTTTGTGGATGTTCCAGGACTTCAACTAAAGAGGACTAAGGTAGACAAACTAGAGGCAGATTGTTGTAACTATTTTCTTGATCTTGGAATGTTTCTGATAGTAAAACTAGCATATGAATTCTTATTTTAGCCAGTGAAATGAAGCTTTATCACAAACAATAAGGGATGAAGTTTGTTCTGCTAATGCCTAACTTCTTTATTCTGATAATATTTTAACTTGTGAAAAAAGTTATACTGTGTGACATAATAAAGTGATGGAATTGCACTATTATGGCTGTACTGACAGCGAAACAATTTTTGAATTATCGAACTGATCTTGGACCATAACATATTGTAAGAGTCCAAGAGATCAGGTTTGTTATCCGAGGAATCTGGACAGGGCCTTGAAGTAGGGACTGCGTAGAGACAGTTCAGAGTTCAAGCTTTAGACGAGGCCCTGGTAACAGTCAAAGTGTCCCGCCAGTAGATAATGGAAGGGAAATAAGATTACACTGACACTTATTGGTTTGTTTTTCCTTTCTTTTCTTTTTTTCAGTTATTCCTTTTTGTTGCCATCATTAAATTTGAATAAATCATGATTCCATCCAATATAAACTGAAAATTGGTTTAAATGCTGGGAATATTTATCAATTGACTGAAATGTCCTTCACTTGTGTGTATGATGAGCCAATGTAATTTTATTGAATCAAGGTTCTTAAATAAATAAAATTGTAAATTCACTATTGGTAATTGAAAAATAATTTAACAAAAAGAATGATATGAATATAAATTTAAGATTTTTTATTTAAGATACGTAAATCTTTTCCGTTATTACTAAGATTAACAACAAATATTTTAATAGACTAAAGGTATTATAATTATTAAATTATCTTCCATTTATTGTTTTCTTTCAAACAAACAAAAAATTAAAAGAGGATATTAATTATTTGCCCAACATGCCAAGCCCCATTAACCCAACATACCAAGCCCCATTAAGGGGTGTTCGAAAACCCTCAAAAGCAATTAAAAAAGCATTTTCACGCATATCAAGACAAAATTCTTCTCATATAGTCAAGTATGGATCCCAATAAAACCACAGTGAATTGTTTTCTTACTTTATAATTAAGTTGCTAAAAATATTCATTTGTCAAATTTTTGTAAGAACTTAAAATCAACAATATCCAGGAAAACCATTTTCAAGGGCATAATTAAATTAAAGAAATCTCTACCCAAGCTTGGTAACAGAAAGAACAAATTATTTGTTAAAAAACAAATTGTTTGTAAACATATATTGAATGTTCAAATTGTTTGTACACATATATTGAATGTTCCCAACTGTATTTTATTCAATCTCACTACGAAACTGCTCCACCAGAGTAAATAACAAAGGGTGGACTTTGTAAAACTAAACTTCAGTGAAGCTAATGTAGTACAACTTCTAAACTAAAACTAAGCAAGCATTGTCAATCAAGCTCCAACAACTTCGGTTGTTGCCTCGGCCATTGTTTCATCTGAAGGTATATCTACCTTCACACCAACGTCTTCGGAGTAATCACCATGAACCTACAGGTAGAAGACAGCAAAGGCATCAGAAGAGATCAGGCCACGGTTCAAGTTTCCATCCTTTTCTATTTGACCAAAATGTTTCCATCCATTTACTAATGATCACATGATAGAGAATTTTCACCCCTTGGACATTTTTATTGAAGAATTACAGCTTCTATTACAACGGGATATAAAATTGAGAAAGATTGATTAAGAAATCACGAAATAGAGGACCATGCCAAGTATTGGAATCAAATGTGAAGAAGGAAGGGGTAACTGTAACTATTCAGGTTAGCTGGTTTCTATTTAAGTTTATTGGACCCTTAATTAAACACATCAAAAGGAAATTTAACCAAGTAGAGATACCTCCATCAGTTTTCCAAGATCAAACTTGGTAGCTTTCAAAATCTTGATTTTTCTGATGAATACGTTTTGTAGAGGGGAAATGCTGGATGTTGCCTTCTCAATCTCTTTGCCAATCATTTCTGGAATGAACTTGCGGACCAACTCTTTCAAATCACAGGAGGTAGCCTGATTTGTCATGATTTCCCTCATCTTCCTGCGGATCTGAAAATATAAAAAATATAATGATGCAAGCAATATGATGCTGTCTTCAAATAATTACTTGAATAGTCAAGTAATCTTTCTAGATATGCAATCTTCAAATAGTCAAATTCAGAAGCAAAGTCACAAGGAACGCAAATGATCCACACCCATTAAATTTCAATAATTACTTGTTAAATACTTTAAAGCAAAATGCCAGTAATATGATGCTCTGATGTTTTCATGAAAGTTGAAGGTGTTGCATCTTACAAACAATTCAGTAATTTTACCTGTCAGATCTGGCTTGACTTTGCATAGCAAGTTCTCTTCACCTGGTTTGCACGTCTCTTGGTAAATCCAATGCAGAACATTCTCAATGTGTAATTATCAGTGGTCTTCACATCCACATGAGCTTCTATCAAATTTGCCACTTCCGAACCAATGACCTCAACTTGTCTGTAGTAAAATCCATTCCCTAATGATGACAATATTTGATTAGATATAATACTCCTCCGGTCCTTATTATAAGACCCAATTTGACTTTTTATTTGGTCCTAATTATAAGACCCAATCCATTTTTTCTTTTATATTTATGCATTTTTTTCCAAGATAATCCTTCTAATAATGATAGTTTTAGCCAATATACTTAATTAGCAAGGATATTTTAGGAATAACAACACTTATTTATTATAAATAACCAACTTAACTTACTTCCTTAATCTCCTCAAATAAGTCAATTGGGTCTTATAATTAGGACCGGAAGAGTAGTTCATTTAGTTCTACAGAGGAATTCAATCCTCGAACGAGCAAGATAAATTCCAGCAATCCATCATACCCAGAAATTAGTAAGAACGTTCTTCCCTTGAACATCCTCTGCTCTCAACCGAATCTTCCTGTACGCATGACCCTCATCAGCTTGTAAATCAGCTAATGAAACCTGAGTTCTAAATTCAAATTTAAAAAAAGCAAGAAACAAATTACCTTGGCCCCCTGAGTGCGAGTGACGAGAGTCTTGCCGACATTTTTGACTTGGAACACAGAAGGGGCCTTAATATCAAACCAATCCTTCTTGGCGAAGGGATCGGCTCTGAAAGCCAAGGAAGCAGAGATAGGTTGAATCAAAGATAAAGAAGACAGAAAATAAAAAAAAATTTGAAAAGGTGCTCACGCCTTCTTCTTGCCTCCTGTCTTCCCCTTCGAAATTCGCTTGTTTTTCCCTACTGCCATGACGGAAGTTACACACACAAACGAACTCCTCTGCAGCTAACGGCTACGCTACTAAACCACACAACAATGAACCTTGTTTATGCAGTGACCGCGCTGTGTCACGTATTTTAAAAAACGAAAAAAAATCGTGGAGGCATGTTTGGCGAACTACACTCCATTTCACATTATTAAATTACAATTTGATTGTTTACCCAAAAAAAAATTACAATTTGATTATTAATATTTTTTTACTGCCAGAATTAATACTACCTCCTCCAATTCTAAATATGAGAGCTAATTAAAAATTTAATTTAGTTCTAAATATAAAATTTTAATTAATTTTATCTCATTTATTTATTTATTTATTTTTAGAGTAGTTAAAAGTTTTCTATTCTAATCTATATGATTATTTTAGGAAAAAAATATTTATTTGTGATTAATTTAACTGATTTTCTATATCTTTTTAAATTAGTCAACTGATTTTATAGTAAAGATTCAAGTTAGTATTTCTTAGTTAAGCCTTAATCAAAAGTGGCTTAATTTTTGTTACGAACATTATAGAAATAGTTTCTCTCCCTTTAAATTTGTTTTCCTTTTTCTTTTTCCCACTAAATCCGTTTTCTATGTGTCAAACAACAGAGTTTTAATATCAGAAAATAAGTTATTTACTTCTTTTACCAGAAAAAAAACCCTCCATTCTTCATAAAATATAAAATGAAAGTATTAGTTATGGTTTTTTTTTTTGTTATTTGTACTCTTCATATGCTTAACATAGAACCTAATTGAGGCGTTAATATTAGTCCAATATATAAGATATATTTCACATGTTTATCAATTTTTTTAAAAATTAACCTCATTGATATTTTTTCAATAATAATCAAATAGAAGAGCAAGTAAGGAAATTAAAAAAGATGCTTAGAATATTTTTAAAAAAACATATCATATTAACTAATTTAATTAACATTCTTAATTTATTCAAATTAGTTAATGAGATCTTACATTAAGAACCGGAAGAGTAATATTTTTGGGTATTGTATCATTACTCAACTCCGATTCTTTTCTATTTTTAAAAAAATAAAAAAAAATATTGTTAACATTATTTTTTATTATATTGCATTCCATCTGGGTATTACTGTATAACTTAAGAACTTGAAAACATGTTTTAATTTAACCGGAAATAAGTATTTTGTTGGCAAAAGAAAAAGAAAAAAAAAGGTATCCTGCATTCTGAATGTTGGGCGGGTAAACTTTTCCGAGTAATTTATGGCTTGATTCATTTAAAAAAAAATTTTTTGCTACAGATTTAGAAATATATTTAGTACAACCTTGGTGGAAAAATGGTTCAACTGGGAAATATTAATGTCTGGCACTGAATCAATTGAAGCCAATTTTTGTTAACTAATTCAAAAATTTTATCGTGACATATTTAGCGTACTCTTTGATAAACAAATGTTTACCTTACTTGAAAAGGAAAAAAAAAAGAAACCTATTTTATGGCAAGTTAACCAAGAACCTCCATAAGTAACGCACCCAAATTTTCCAGCCACACGGTAGTTCCTGGTAAATACAACTTACCATGATACTATAAAATTAAATATTGGCGTGTTATTATTTGATTGTAAATGTAAAATTTCATTCTCTTTTGCCTTAGATTTATTGTTTTGCAAAACCATCCCTATAGTTAAAATTTCCCAAAATGTATAACTCTAATGTAAATTATTAAAAAGAAAATTATTTTAGAGGGAAAAAAACCACCACACATTTTTTTAAAAATAATTAACTTATCTAAATTTTTTAAAGCTATATGAATTAGTTAGTTAATATCTATATTTAAAATAGAAGGAGTACATGATAATATTGATAAACTGATGACTAAATCACAGAGTTAAAAGACAATTTCAACTTTCAAGA